ACTCCAGAAGAAAATGATGTAGCCGAGAGATGAAATATGACCTTGGTTGAAATTGTAAGGGATATGATTGGGCGTGCAAGTCTTTCCCTAGACTTTTGGGGAGAAGCTGTGTTAACAGCATGTTATATCCTCAATCAGACTCCCACAAAAGCTACACCACTCACGAACGAAATATTAACAGGTCGTGCTCCCTCCCTTGATCACTTAAAAGTTTGGGGTCGCTCAGGTCATGTTCTCATCCTGCACTAAAATAGGACCAAACTTCAACCCAAAACTGTTAAAACCATTTTCATTGACTACCCAGACCATGGTAAGGGGTACGATTCTACAACCTTGAAACATGGGCAGTCATGGAGAGCTGAGATGCTCACTTCTTCGAGGAAGAATTCCTTGAAGCAAGAATGAGCCAGAAACAAGCCGACTTCTTTGAGGAGCAAGAAAAAAGGTTGTGCTTTGAGAACCCAAACTTGAAACTTCCAATAGACTTGAGCTTGAAATCGATCCCTATAAACAAAATGGACTAGAACCCGAACCAAGACGAAGTAATCAAATTAGTAGACATCATCTATACCTAGAACAATTTGTCTACCTGGTAGAATATTTTGATAGACTTGGGGAATATCCAGATTCTGAACCTAAAACTTACCATGAAACCTTGACTTGTCCTGAAAAAGAATACTGGGTAGAAGCCATGAAAGATGAATATGCTTTCATTAACCAAAACCATGTATGGGAACTAGTATCTCTACCTCGAAACGTAAAGCCATTGGCTGTAAGTGGATCTCCAAGAAAACGTTGAACTCAAAAGGGAAAATAGAAAAATACAAAGCTAGACTGGTTGCAAAGGGTTTTACCTAAAAAGAAGGGATAGATTATGAGGAGACCTTTTCCCATGTTGTCAAATTCCCATCTATCCAAATCCTTATAGCCATAGCCACCCATTTTGATTTTGAGGTTCATTAGATGGATGTCAAGACAACATTTTTGAATGGTGATTTAGAAGAAGAAATTTAAATGACCCAACCGGAGGGATTTGAGGAAAAAGGGAAGGATAACCTAATGTGTAAACTTAATAAATCTCTCTATGGCCTAAAACAAGCATCGCGTCAGTTGTACATAAAACTCCAAGAGACTTTGGCTCTTACAGGGTTCTCCACAAATAATAAGGACTACTATATTTATCAAAGGGTCAGTGGGAGTGATGTGGTTTTTTTCTCTTAGATGTGGATGATATGTTAATTGTTGGTAGCTCGATTGCCCTAGTAGTAGAGACAAAAAGTTTCCTTGCACAACCCTTCGATATGAAGGATCTTAGAGAAGCTTCATATGTATCGGGTATCAAGATAATAAGAAACAGAAGAGATAAAACTATCCAACTTTCCTAAGCAACCTATTGCAAGAGGATACTAGAAAAGTTTGATATGAATATGTGTAAGCCCATGTCTACCCCAATAAACAAAAAGGCGAAGCTAAGTAATAAAATTTGTCCTACCGAAGATATGGATATAAGAGTCATGGAGAGAGTGTCTTATAGGAGCGCAGTTGGGTCCCTTATATATGCCATGATGGGAACAAGGCCAGACTTGTCTTTCATCATGAGCTTCGTCAGCCGATTCCAAAGCAATCCTGGAGAGGAGCATTTGAAAGCAGTCAAGAGAATCCTCATATATTTAAAAGGGAAAATGAACTATGCGCTTACATAAAAAGGGGGGAAATAACAAAAGAAGGATATTAAGATGCAAGCTATTTCACAAATCCAGATGATGCAAAATCTACATTTGGATATGTGTTTATGCTTATATGGGGTGCAGTTTCTTGGAAGTCAAAGAAACATGATATAGTGGCGTTCTCCACCATGGAAGCTGAATATGTGGCATGATGTCTAGCGGCTAAGGAAGATGTATGGATTAAGAAGTTTTTTAATCAGCTCAACTTTCATCCCATACGTTGTGAGGTAGTGCGGATTTTCTACGACAACACGATGACAATTTGTGTTTTTAAGAAACCTCATTTTCACAAGAATTCCAAGCATATTAAACTATACTTCTTCACTAGAGGAATGGGGTGAGATCGAGAGAGATCGATATTAGCTACATATCCACAGATCTGATGATTGCAGATCTTCTGACTAAAGGGGTTGCCCCTAATATTTTGTAAGACATGTAAAAGAGATGGGAATGAGAGAAACTGAGGAAGAGAGAATGTAATGCATTCAAAGGCTAAGTGGGAGATGTTGGGTTTATGTGACCATTAAAGGCCTTATGAGTGATTGTAATAAAAACATTTAATATAGTGAAACAGGAATTCAATGGGAGTGTGGTCCCACGTGGACCATACTATGTAAATAATGTTTGCAAATATTAGACTGTGCTTGACAGTCAAGGCCAGTCGTTGAGAAAAAAACCCATGTTACCTGAGCATAGAATATAAACCGATAAGGGTTCTAATAAGTCATCCCTTGATGAGGTTGAAGTACGCCCGAATGAGTGAGCCAAGAGACTGTGTGACCTTTGTGTGTGATGGTGGCCTATAGAGACAGGGGCTAAAGCCTCATCCACATACCATCACATGACATGCATATTGATAGACCGTTTCAGGAAAGTAAGCCACCTTCAGAGTGAAGTGTATACATATGCGAGAGATACCCCTCTGCACCATACGAGTTATGGTTGCGTCAGGTTTGACTGACATTGACTCATCTGTAGGGAGAACCTGAAATCTAAAGACTGTGATTGCAATCTTTTGGCTCATCGGCCAGACTTTGGTGACCTACTAATGAGCCCTTGTTTGGACTATAGGTCATAAAAAATACTGGGTCGGCTTGATAATGCAAGTGTGGTCTATAGTCCACAGTTGAAGGTGGAATGCTCCATGATTATTGATTTAATTCTTAAATCATATGGATCATTTTCCCATCAAATTAAGTTATTTGTGTTTGTTTTATAGTGAAAATTATTTTTTAATTATTATTTGAATTTTTATAAATCTCTGGATATTTAATTTATAAAATTTAGATTTATAAAATTAAAGATATTGATTTTACAATGGTTTAAATATTCAAATAATACTCTAAAAATTATTTTATTAATTTTTAAATTTATAAAATTTCATGGGGGCTCATTGTGCATATGGGACCACCATATTGCTAAAAGGTGGGGTCCATGAGTGCCTTCCTTGGGTGGCATGCCCCACTCTTCATTCTCTTTCTAATTTTACAAGATTTTGATATGTGGCCATATGGTTGGCTAACTATTGACTTGATATAACTTTGAAATATTTTGAGAAAGAAAGAGAAGACTTGTGCTATTTTATAGAATATACAATATTTTGATTAGATAATTTTTATTGATGGGAAATGGTTTAGGAAAGAGGGATAAGAGTTGATGCACTTTCCATGATGTTAATGACCCATTTATGGAATGAATGACTCAGATCTCTCACCCCACAAGTCATCATTGATCAACGGTTCACATTCAATCTCATTAAGGAGGCAAACTATGGAAAACCCTAAAAAACCGTAAACATAAAATTGTTCTATAAATAAAGGACCTCCCCTCATCTATTCTCCACACATCACTCTCTTCTCTCTCACATCTCTCTCTCTTCCCTCTCTAAGGGGCACACCTCACTATCTCTTCTCTCCCTCTCTCTAGACCTCTCTCTCCTAGTCCACGCTAGAGGGGCACGCCCCAACCCTAGACTATCTCCTAACTCTCTCTCTCATATTGACTAAACCTAAGGGTTGGGTAGTAGAGGATATACTAAAACTAGGTCTTGGGGGGTTAGGACCTAGGTTCAAAGCTTAGTGGTTCAAAGGGAGTTCTAGATAGTTTCATGGAATAGTTTGGCTTAATATTGCTTCCCGGTTGAGATTGAAGCTTGCTCGTTGATCTCGCGCCAACTCAGTGTGGGGTGTACTAAGCCCGGTTGAGGTAATCTCCGGCACTCTATACTTTTATTTCCTACAATTTCATTTTTATATTCTCAAGCATAAAAAATAGTTATTTCAATGGCATCAAGCTTCAAGATCTTGGTTTTATTGTTTTGTTGATTTTATTTTGAAGTATATGTTATTTTAATAAGACCACTTGTAAGTGATTGTTGGCCAAAACAAAAAAGGTTGAAAAAAATGGAAAAATTTATTCCTCGATAAAAGATCACGTTTGTCTTTCTTTCACAACCTCGATATCAGGAAAATATTTTATTAAATCCAAATTTGTCATCTCACAATTCAAATTTTATTGCTTCCATTAAAAAGTCAATCATATTCAAAGCAATAACCGGTAAATAGAAGATCACCCATATATAAATTTTTATGAGCACTTCTTACAAGTATTTCTCTTAAAACATTTATCAGTAATTCAGTCCTATGGTATCAATTAGGAACTCGAGTTTAGAGTTCTTATAACTTGTTGTTTGGTGCCAATTTAATAATTCTTCTCTTATTTAAATTTTAGCGTATAATTGGTGTACAAATAATTTGACAAATCCTTCACTCGCAACAACCACTTTGTGAAGAAATCTAATCCCAAAACAATACCCAAGTTTCTCTCTCAAGAATATTAGCAATACACAAATAAGGACAACAATACTAAACATTTCTCAATTGAACAAACTAAATGTAGGAGATCAGGATACTATCCCTTATGCCCTTATGCAGACTCTTAAGTCAAAGATAATGCATAGTTACATACACATTGAGCAAAATCCCAATACACAAACAAAAATAGAATTGTAAGAGAAAAAAATCAGCATAATAATTCACAATCACGATTTCAAGCGTTCTATTCACAATGTTCTTACAATGACAGATGGAAAATTAGGCATACAACATTTGACATATCTCCCTTATAATTATTATATAATAGTTATCCTCATTTCCTTGTAACATTGCATCTAAAAGCTTTGAATTTAGAAATCAAATCCACATTCCTAAATTAAAAAACAAAAATCTAGAATAAGTTTTCAAATAACCTCCCAACCTATCCCATCAGACCTACCTCTTGTTGATGGCCACTACAAATCCACCTCAAACTAGAAGAATGAGCCCACTCTTTCTCTCTGTAAAACTACCCCATGTCTCTGCTTGCGTGCATGAGAACAAAAGAGAGAGAGAGAGATTAGGTATTCATAACCCCAATCCAAAAACCCATTTTAAGGGAAATCAACGCATTTTCAAAAAGATATTTTTCGTGTATTGAAAATGAATAAAAGGTAGAAACTCAATACAACTTTCTATGATCAATACAACTTTCTATAAGCAAAAATACAATCTCAAAACCAATCTGATTTTTGTCAGTGAAATCCCCTTTCATCAGAGGCCTTAAATGGGTATAAGATCTAAGAAGAGCTTAAAATCTACCTCTTGTAACTTCCACCTTCTACTCTAGTTTGCTAGTTATCTCCTATTCTCTGCACATTCTTTCTTGACCATGGCTTCTCCTTCTTCTCGCACACTTTCTCTCTAATACGGGAAATGGGTTTCTCTCTCTCTCTCTCTCTCTCTCTCTCTCTTCTATGGGCTATTTTGATGGGTTACCGGCTTAACCCGTGACCCTATTTTTGTGACTTACTATCTTCTAATCTCAGTCATCCATTTCAAATCAATGGTTAAAAAGGTGGGGGAGAATAGATCTTCTAAGTTGTAGGGGAAGCATAGAAAGCTTGGTGTGGTTTGTAAAAAGATGCAGCTTTAAACAATCAAATTAAGGTGCACCTCAAATTTTATCATAAATATAATTTTGTTATCAAAAAATATGAGGATGGCTTGAGAATCTATTTTCATCTCTAATTCAACATCTTAAACTCCAAAAGTGATTCAAATCAAGTAGATTTATAAATACTTGAGAATGGATGGTCCAGATAATGTGTTATAAGATACACTATGTTTAGGACTTTAAATTTTTTTTTCATTTCATATTCATACACCTCGATGTCGAGATGATCAATTCGATGGTTTGCCAACATCAAAACAACCTTTTATGATGGATTTTTGATATACAACTTAATTCTACATTTTAAGGTTGCAACCTTATATAAAAATTTTCCATACTAATATATATCCTTTTTCCATACTAATATATATGTTGTTTGATTGATTCACACAAGTGCCTTTGTTGGCATGTGTGGGGTCCTTTTTAACTTAATTTACATATTGAATCCATGAAATTTTGATTTTTGAATTTGAATTTCAAAAATATCTTCACACATGTTTGAAGCGGACATTAAGCTCATTGTGGTTGGTTTAAAATATTAGATCTATTAGGTGATTGGCTTTCATAAGGGTGTACTTTTCCACATATATGAGTTTTATCATTTACTTTACTGCCTATTGCCCTTGATGGATCTATGCACTATTTGATTATTTAAAACTAAAGGCTTTTGTGTCAGGGCAAGTTGAAATTCACTTGGAATAAAAATATGGACCTAAGGACAAAATGGTAAATGAAATTTTTTAGGAAATGTGGGTGATAAGGGTGTTAAATCCCATCCCTTCAGCCTGGTAGTTGGATGGGGATGGGTGGCTAGGGTATATTGGCCTCTCAAGTACTATTAGATAGGTGCATCAAGGGTGTTGATGATATCCAATCTTATACACTATTTATAAATACTTCTTTAAGTCTCAAACCTTAGGGCCTCCACATAATCTCCTTTCCTTTTGATGGTTCCCATCCTCTATGGATGACCTTTGAAGTTTCATGGTGGTCCTTCACTCCATAAGAGCATGCTCACCAAATTCTACGGTCAATATATCTTTAAACTAAGTTTTTCTCTATTATAGTTGAGTTAGTTCTTTATCAAAAGTTCTTGAAATTTCATGATGTTTTATTTCATATCTTTACCATTCTACTCTTTCGTAGTGTGGTCCCTCATATGATCCCAAGCCTTATATTTGATATACCTTTGATCTTGAGTAGTGTTTATAGCCATCTTGCCCATGATTTTTCCATAGCATGTCTTTGACATGTTTCTAAAATCTCAAAGATGCTTGATTCATGTTGGAATTGTGATTGCTCATTTAGAGTTGGAACTTTTGCATGAAAAGTTGTTGTGGTGGACCGGTGGATTACCATATGTAGTTTTTCCCTATCTTACCCAATATTGATATGATTTTCTCCATTCTTCTTGTAACTATTTTAAATTGATTTTGTGGACTATAAGAAGTGGTTTTAAAATTTTAAGGGCATACTAATTGAATTAGACACCCTCGAGATTATAAACTACTCTTGCATTACTTATTGAGATAAAATTAAGTTCCTAAAAGGCTTGAATTTGTAGCCCCAACACATGGGGCTCAAACCATGGATTCCCACTTGTTTTCATGCATGTTTATTTACTGTATTTACAGTTATTAAATTATTTATGATTGATAGAACTGGGTATGTTATGTGAATATTGAGATAGTTCTTTAATCTTATGGAATGAGCCCTAATGATATGCTTTATTGTTTTCATGAATTGAAATGTCGTTGGATTTTCTTTGACCAAATATATGGTATATGTGTAACATGTGGTACATGATGAGATGAAAATTGAACATGTAATTGCTATGTAATTTGGAAATATGTGGAGTTTTGAGTACATGTAATTCAATGAGTTGTAAAGAAAAGCATATGTGACTACATTGTATATATTTGTATTTTGAGAAAGGGATTTATTAAAGGACCTATTAAAGTTGGATTTTTCAATAATCTAAGATTTGTATAAGTCCAAGTTTTATGCAATTAAAGCATCATGTTTCAATAAAATGGAAAATTTTAAGTTTAGCATCTTATCTTTTGGTCTTATACCACCCACATACTTCCCCTTCCTTACCTCTTGCTTCCATTTGTGATGACGACTTATCTCTCCATCCTCATATAGAAGGCCATTGTCCATTTGAGGTGTCTACTAGCATTTTGGAGGCCTTTGAAGACCTTATCACCAGCTGGTCCTTTCAATTTAGGTTCACCGCTTCCTGTTGGCACTCCAATCTCGATCTTTGTACCCAACATGGCCGAAGCTTTCCCTTCAGGTCTTAATCCATCAATCTCTTACTTCTTCTTTATTTTCTATTATTTTATCAACTCCCATGGTTTTGCAGGTACTTCTTCTTGTGACGAGGTGCTAGAGGATGTTCTCAAGCCAGCACCTACTCGTGCCACTATCGAATCACCAACTAGTGCTTCGGATGTTATCCCTCCATTTGCATTAGTTGAAGTTGATTCTTTCGAGGGACTAGGAGATAATTCCGAGTGGACTTTAGTCCATGTTTCCACTCCTTCAAAGGATCTGGTGGAGTTTATGATGAAGGCCTTCGCTGCCTTAAGTGAGGGTCAAAAGAAGGTAGCCCAGGAGATGGTGAAGACCAACTACTGATTGTTAGGCGACTTTTTCCTTGGTCAATTTTTTGCGGCTTCGGCCTCCCTATCCTTGGCAATAGCAGCGGCTGCTTCAGCAGAAACCAATGAGCATGGTTTTCATCTTAGGAGGGCCTTAACAGACAATTTCTCGGTTATGATCTCGTAGGGCAAGTTGGCGGTTCCTGACGGCCTTCGACGAGTGGCTGAGAGGGAGTTGTTGCTTTTAAAGGCTTGATGAGAGCTCAATAAGTTCGAGAATCTAGTAACAGAGGGAGAAGCTTGTTGCAAGGCGATGGAAGAGCGAATCTCGTAGCTTGAGTGGCCCTTGAAGCACAATGGACGAAGCTCCATTAGGAACGACAATACATTCAAAATCTCTAGGAAGCAAGGCGTCCTGCAACATTTAAGGTGGCTGAGGTGTCTGATCATGCGCACACCAATCTCAATGAACTGAACGCTACTATGGACACACTTGATGAGGCGATTGAAAATAGAGAGAGTGCCGAGAAGCGTATTAAAGAGACTGAAAACTCTAGCCTTACCAAGACAATAAAAAAATTGACAAAATGCTTAAAAAAGATAACCTTCCAACATGTGTCTAGGAAAAATAACCAGATAACCGATACCCTAGCCGCTCTTGCATCTATCATGGACATTCTCCCGCAAATGAGTGTCTAATCTTTCTATTTAAGGCATAAGAGTGATCCTGCTATTCCCAAGATGGAATCAAAAGAATGTTGGATATATGGCCTTTCAAGGCATTATATGTAAAGACTAGCATTGTTCAGAGTCACAGTGGGAGTGACCAAGAACATGGTATCTACTGGTAACCTTATGTACTGAGATCTGTGTAAGCTAAAATAACCTTGTTTGACTGAGGCAAGGTTCTTGGACCATATTGTGAATCGAGAGGTTTAGAGTTTTCCTTTAGTCAGGGTCGGTAAGACTGAAATCATCTCATGTTGTGTGAGCTAGGGCATGTGATAAGTGGATTCCAGTTTTGTTTGAGTTATATTAACTATAAGCTTTATGTGAGCATAGTTAGGCTATAAGATGACATAAGCCCAAAATCCTTGACATATATAGCTTGCTCACAGCATGTGCATAGACAGTCACATTTTGGGAAGCCGTTCTGATGAGGTAAGATCCACCTATCAGAACAGTGCAAGCGTGCTGAGAGAGGAACCCCGCATCCGCAAGAATGCATATCCTTAGGGGCACCTATAATCCACTGAACACCCTGGAGTCCATCCAAATGTTAGTTAGTTTTGATAGGTCTACTCATGTCTAGACTAAAGTCTTTGACTCATAGGAGTCTGTTGGGTTGGTTCGTCTAAAAAATTGGATTGGGTTTCTAGGTCTAACCTAATGGAGTACCATACAGCTCGACCCCCAGTGAATCCCATTTTTTTACATCGAATTTAATAAAAAATGATTTATCATGATTTTAGATGATTTTTAAAAAAATTATTTCAAAGGAAAAATGCCTTGACAAAATTGTTGTGTTAATTCCAATTAAAGATGTCCACACATGTGGCATGTGACATACAAATGGCCAATGTTTGCTATACTGCATCCCATAGGGCAGCCACATCATTGCCAAATGGGCATGACTTGGAAACCCTAACCCTAGATGTAAGACCTTTTTTTTGGATATGAGACATAACATTGATAAGTATATTATGTTTTATGGCACATATATGAAGCACATGTGTGTTGACGTGTATGTGTTTATATGTGAGAGTGTAGAGATTTTATATTTTCATATATTAATTAAACTCCTAATTTTATGATTTGATTACACCTTAGATATTTGAAATTAACGGTTTTAATTGGTGAGAAGAGGATAAAGGGGCACACCATGACATGAGATTATGTAATGTACCCCTAAGAGACCCTTGATAGATTCATGATGATCAATACCCTCCTCAAGGGAAATACTCAGAAAAGGCTCACCATCACCCCTAACTCCTATGATCTTAACTACGCCCTCAATCATAGGACCCATCTCACCAGTGGCGAAAGGAGTAGAGTTTGTCCATCAGATACAAAACTTCATCCGTAAAGAGTGGTTTATAACAGAAGGCCTAATCCTACATGTTTCCCATAACCCTATCATAACCAATGCCTGAAC